TAGGAATAATCGGATCCAAATTGCAGAAGCAGGACTTTATTCGACAATCTATTTCACCACCAGAACGATTAGCATTAACCTTGAGGTTTGTTTGACTTAACCAAATTAAATTTTTTAACTTAGTATTTTTTAGTGCATGTATGAAATAATAGGTTTGTAATAAACGTATTAGAGCACATTGGAGTAGAAGTATATTGGAACATGTGACACAAACAAACCTAATGTTATAAATTTTTAGTTAATGCATATATGTAATTAATACTATTATATAAAATATTGTAGATAATATGTACTAACTTCGTTTATATTTTCGGATGCTGTCAATTCATTAAATCCTTCAGCCATAATTTCATTTTTATACAAAGTAAAATAATTTAAATTTCAGCGTTGCTGGATCAATTCGCTACTAGTTGGACTGTGTCGAACTTTGAGCGTTTATTCGCTACATTCGCCATTCTGGCAGGAATTTATGGAGAGGGGGTAAAACGCCAGCTTTTATTCGCTGCATGAAATTGTGCCTTCACACCGACTTTGCACTAAACACGTACAGAAATTCTGTAATTGGTCATTATAAAAACATGTCGGAAGCGCAGTACGGATCGGCGCGAACGTGAAACAAAAGAACGAGTGCCCCTACTGGTTATACTGTGATCTAAGTGAGGTTTGAACCTGTTCGATGTAAACTGTCTGTTCTAGGTTAAGATTGGAAGATTTGATACAACAGGAAGAAAAAAGTAATTTTCAATCAATATGTCTTCAAGTAATGTTGGATTTTGTTCTGAATATTCTGGAAATATTGGAGATGGAGGAACATTTGAGTGACCTTACTCAATCAGAAATGCTAACAATTCTGAAATAAAAAAGTGAAAAACACGATATAGACAAAATGACATTACAAACCAAAATTAGTTGACATAAGAATTCGGATTTCTAAAACTTTAAACAGTATCAATGGAACTCACGTGAAAAGAATTAAACGGCTGAAACAGCTCTGAAAACTCTGATTCGTTCGGCATTGAGATTAGTGCTCGGCTTGCTCAGAGATCACGTGATTCAAGCTCGACATCTGCTCGCTCGCATCTCATTGTCAGATTTTTTTGCCGAACGCAGCTATTGGAGCAACGTGATCTTTACGGAGGAAGCATCTGTTTGGGGATATACAACCATTCCACGTGCCTGGTCAACTTCCACCGATAGATTAGTTCAATGGACCGTTAAACACCCTGTAAAGGTCTATCTGTGAGGCTGCTTTTCAAAACAGGGATTCGGAACATTATACCTGTTTATAGACAACTTAGATGCTCCGAAGATGCTCAAAATTTATAAAAAATATTTGTTACCGTTATTTGTTACTGCTGAACAATGCTTCAAAAGAAGAAACGAGGACTGGGTCTTACAGGAGGACAACGACCCAAAACACCGGAGCAGGCTTTGTACCGAGTGGAAAGAGCAGTCTGGCACCGTCACTCTTGATTGGCCGTCGCAGTCGCCAGATACAAATCTGATTGAAAATGTGTGGGCATATCTCAAGCACAAGCTTCGAGGAAAAAAAGTGTGCACTCTAAAGCAGCTGACACGACAAATTCGTTGCATTTGGAGATCTTTACCGAACGAATACGCCGTCAACTTAGTGGAAAGTATACCTCGGAGATGCCAGGCAATTATCGACGCCAGTGGCGACTGGACACATTATTAATGGTAATGCATTTTTCTTCTCATGGAGTACAACAAATACATGTACTTAAAAATAATAAAAAAATTTTTTTACAGATTAACTGTGCACGCTCTTAACAGACTGTATGTTTCCAAAAAACATGGAGAAGAAACATCGATGACTTGCAATAAGTGAAAAAAAAACGTAATTTCTCACATACTGCAATGTCAGTAATACGTAGTCACCACTTTGAAAAAGAATGTTAAGTGATAACTGCTTCCGGCAAGCTTATATTAAAAACAGGTGCTCTACCAACTAAATTTAATATGCCATTAAAATCAAAGTATATTTGGCATATGAATTAAAACAAAGTATACACGATACGGTATGTCAAATTTCATATTTACTCTTGTTCACATTGTAAATATTGTTTTGTATATTATTTAAGAATACGTTATATTTTATCAGAATGAGAGGCAGCCAAAGAATGAGTATGATTGCGAGAAATCTATAATTCCATCATTACCACAGCATCATGAGTCTATAATTCCATCATTACCATAGCAGCATGAGTCTACAATTCCATCATTACCACAGTAGCATGAGTCTACAATTCCATCATTACCACAGCAACATGAGTCTATAATTTCAAAACAAAGTTGTATGACTAAGTTTGATCAGAGGTAAAGTAACAAAGAGTTAGAGTAATATACAATTTAATAATTATTGTTAATAATGAAAAGATAAATTTACTTATAAATGTTTCTTTGCGTAGTGCAACTGTACAGAGCATGAAATATGATAACAATGATAAACACATAAAGGAAATTGAACGGTTAAGGAAAGCGTTAAAGATATGTCAACAGAAATGCAGAAGATATAAGAAGAAATTTGATTTATTAATATCGCTTACAAAGCATTTGCAAGATAAGCAGTTACTCTCCAAATGCTGCAGAAGACTTACAAGTAAGAAATATACAAAACGTAATTGCTTCAAATATTGTATAACATTAGAAGGAAAGCATTGGAAAGGAGTAGATTACGTCTGTAATAGATGTAGTAAACTTGTAAACTTGGTCTTAATCTTTAATCATTGGTCTTTCTTATTAATGAAATAGACATCGACGAAAATAATAACTTACAAAACAATCATATATTAATTATGTAAAATGCATTTTCCTGCAAGAGAATACTGTCGTTAATAGAAAAGGAGATGATAGAGAGACATTTGAAAAGTAATAAGAGAGGAGCATTTCCAAGTGAGCTAAAAACTTTTGCAGTAACAGTGCAACAACAGATTAAGACCGAGTTTACAGTTTTATTTTACGAAAGCGTACGAGTATGTTCGTAGGACATTTTCGAATATTTTACAATAAGAAAGTGGTATTTCTCTGTGGAAGGAAAACCTGGTATTACAACAGAAGCTTTAAGAGTAGTAGAAGCAAAAGTTAACGAAGCAACCCATATAGCACCGAAGCTTTCAGAAACATTTCAGAAACATTGCAACATTGCAACAATGTTTTCTGAAATGTTTCTGAAAGCTTTGGTGCTATATGGGAATGTCAGAAGAGAAACAATTATATTTTAAATCTGATAATCTCTTTAGGGTTGCCAGTAATAAACAACAATGGAAAGTTTAAGCGACTTTAACTGGCACATATTTAATAACAGCTAATTAAATAAATGTACAATGCGCGATGTTTCGTTCATGGGTTTTGGTTCTTTTCAAGCGCAATTTCTTAAATTCAGTCAGGCCTGTGCGCAATTAAGCGAAAGTTTAAAGTCGCTTAAACTTTCCATAATTATATTTTAGTCTAACTGTCGACGATATGTCTATACGAGAAGTTGTAGAAATCGACAATGATAAATGTTATGGATACATTGATTTAGGAACAAGTTCTGAATATAACGACAATCTTCCAGAGGCAAAATATGCATACTTCCTTTTATGTGTGTTAATAGTAACTGGAAAATACAATTGCATACTAATTGATACAATCTTTAAACGGCACTGAAAGAGCAAATCTAATAAAATCAGTATTAGCATCCTTACATGAAGGTGCCACTGTTATTCATATTATTATGGATGGCTCTGCAGCAAATATTTCTACAACGCAATGCTTGGATGCAAATCTATGTCCAAAGAATCTGCAACCGTACTTTATACATCCACAAACGAAAGAAAAAGTTTATACCCTATTGGATGCAGTTCACATGATAAAGTTAATTCGAAATTCATTTGCAAGTAGTACAAACATATATGATATTGATAGAAATAAAATACAGTGGAAATATATTTCCTACTTATTGTTAGTACAATTGCAAGAAAAGGAGCAACTTCATGCTGCTACAAAAGTAAGGATACGTCATTTAAATTGGTAACAGGAAAAGATGAGAGTAAAGCTGGCCATTGAAACGCTAAGCACTAGTGTTGCAAATGCTATAGATTTTTGTGCAATATTCTTAAACCTGGAACAGTTTCGTGATTCAGCAACTACGTCATTATTCATTCGAAATATGAATAATATATTTGATTTACTTAATAGTAGAAATCTATTGTGTAAAAATATAAGTCAAGCGCCAATATCATTCCCTGTTGAAAATACCCAATTAAAACCGATTGAAAATTTTGAATCTGCATGAATCTGGATTCTTAATGCGGAAAATACCGATTGACCCGGATAGGGTCAGATTTGAATCGTGTTCAATCAGGAATTTCCAGATAGATTTTGATCCGCGTCTATCGGTTTCAACCCGTGATAAAAGTTTGCCGAATGGAACCGATTGGCGCGGATTCAAGTCAATCCGGAAAAATTGTATTAAAAACGATTGACAGACTTCGTCAGAAAATCCGATAGAAACCGATTGTTACTGCTTCAATTCTATCTGGAAATACCGGATTGAATCAGATTACGGATTGAATCCGATTGACCTTGCATTTCCACCAATCCGGTGCCCGATTGGCCCGATTGATATCGAATTGAAACCGATGAATTTTTATAGAAATCAATGCGATATCTATCAGTTTGAATCGGGTATTTTCAGCAGGGTTATTCAACATTAACCGCATTAAAGATGATATCGAGAAATACGTGGAATATCTACAAAATATTTATTTAGATGATAAAAAAATTATCTATACAAAAAAGAAAACTGGTTTTCTAGGTATATTAGTTTGTTTATTATCTATAAAAGATTTAGCGGATGCACTGATTGCTACAGAAAAAATGAAATTCTTATTAAAGCCCGCTGCAGACGATGCTATTTTTCCTGCTGGATTGCTTGCGATTTACTAAATTACTAGGAATCCTGAGTGCTGAATGGTGCAACGATAGTAATTTATTAGATTGCAAGCAATCCAGCGGGAAAAATAGCATCGTTTGCAGCGGGCTTTACATACAATGTTGTTGGTCTGGATGATGACTCCCGGCCCAAGCACTGGACCGACACGGCCACGACAAACCAATAGACTTTGTTATATTAGTCAATGATCACGTTCAGCAGAACGTTTATTTTGCAACTGTTGGAAGTTTTTTCTGTGCTATTATTGGATTATTCCTCTGGTTCTAAAAATGTAATCTAATCTCAGTACAGAAGATGTTCAACAGTTGCAAAATAAACGTTCTGCTGAACGTGACCAATGCACAGTATAACCAG